TGATCTCACTTCTGTAACACTTTGGGACTCGCAGCTGCTTGTAAATTTTAACTCTCATAAAACTGAGTTATTTACTGCAAAAAACTATCGTATTTCTGTCAACATTCCTATATTAATTAATGGCAACCCTCTCACTGTGTCTTCTTATTCAATTTCTTCTTGAATTAACATTTACTCATTATCAATTTATCAATTACTTGAATTATTTAAAAATTCTGGAGAGCAATCCAATTTGTCTAACTACCGTCCCATTAGTCTTCTTCTTATCATAAGCAAGGTTTTTGAATTTTAAATTAACAAACACTTAATCTTGAATCTCATAACCTACTTTCTGATCATCAATATGGATTTCGATCTTCTCGTTCTACGGCTGATTTGGTAACAGTAATAACCGATAGGTTTTATCGTGCTTTAGATAAAGGTGGAGAGGTTAAGGCCATTGCTCTTGACATTTCTAAAGCATTTGATAAAGTTTGGCATGCTGGTCTTCTCCATAAGCTTTCTTCTTACAGTGTATCTGGAAGCGTCTTTAAGATTATTGAATCCTTTCTTTCCAATCGTAGTATAAAAGTTGTCCTTGATGGACAGCACTCTTCTTCTTATTCTGTAACCTCAGGGGTTCCCCAAGGTTCAATCCTTGGCCCTATACTCTTTTTAATTTACATTAACGATCTTCCAGATATTCTCACATCTAAGGTGGCATTGTTTGCTGATGATACTACCATTTATCCTTGTCATGATAAGAAGCCAACTCGCTCTGATTGCTTGCAGGGGGCATTTGAGCTTGAAAAGAATCTCACTTCTGCTACAGCATGGGGCTCACAGTGGCTGGTGAACTTTAATTCAGATAAAACTCAATTTTTTTCAGCCAATCATTATCGCAATAATTTAGACCTTCCTATATTTATGAACGGTAATGTACTTTATGAGTCATCTACCCTTCATCTTCTAGGATTAACTCTTACTTCTGATCTTTCTTGGAAACCTTATATCAAATCCGTTGCAAAATTAGCATCTGCTAAAGTTGCTTCTCTTTATCGAGCTCGTCATTTTCTTACTCTGGATTCTATTCTCTATCTCTATAAATCTCAAATCCGACCTTGTATGGAATACTGTTGACATATCTGGGTGGATCTTCTGGTGATGTCCTTTCTCTTTTAGGCATGGTGCAAAAAGCATTGTAAACATAGTTGGACCTGCTCTTGCAGCCAACCTTCAACCATTATCACATAGTCGTAATGTTGCTTCTCTTTCTCTTTTCTACAAATACTATAATGGGCACTGCTCTAAAGAGTTAGCGTCTCATGTGCCATCTACTAAAATTCATTCTCGTGTTACTCATCATTCAATTAAGTCGCATCCTTTTTCTGTTCCTGTTCCTAAGTGCTCTAAGAACTCTTATTCGTCCTCAAACATTAGTTCTTTGGAATTTGCTTCCTTCATCTTGCTTTTCCTGATTCATATAATTTGCAATCTTTTAATTCGTCTGTCAATCGTTATCTTGCTTTATAATCTTCTTCTTTTCTCTTCCAGTAACTTCCAACACTAATTAGTATTTGCTTGCAGCCTTGTTGGAAGCAAAGATGTTTATATTAAAAAAAAATTTACTACTGACCTTTCTTGGAAACTTTATATACAATTGATTGCTAAATTAGCATCTGCTAAGATGCTAATTTAGCAATCAAATGTTTCTCTATTGTGCCATTTTATTTCTCCTGATTCCATTCTCTACCTCTACAAATCTCTTATTTGTCCCTGTATGGAATAATGTTGTCATATTTGGGCTAACAGGGTGTTAACCAGAAATAAATTTGATGCAGCATTTTAACGAAATTGGGAATTTATCAAAATATTTTGCAATCATATCCCCCCACCTCCGCTGAAATCAAAATAAAATACCGTCTGTAACATTAAAGATGAATATGAAATCAATACAAAATTAAACGTGGTTTCATAGCGACAAGACAAATTAAGCTCTGATTTCCAAACATATATTAGGAATTACAAATTGTTGCTGCTTTCATTTCAAGAGTATTTTTTTCAATATATATTTCTTTTTCACTGTAATATAGTAATATAGCAATTTATATTCAATGAAAATCTCAGCGGAAGAGAGCCAATGATCTTCTATTTCTATTAATTAAATTCTGCTGGGCGTCTTTTATGGATGACCCCTACATCATCATTTAATAAATTTTTTCATCAAAAGAAATGTTTTAAAAATAAATAAAGTTTTGAAAATAGTAAACACGAGCTCTTAAATTTTATATTTCTCATTTATTGCAAGTTCAATTTTATAATTAATAATAATTTTCTTTATACATAAATGCCATAGCGAAATAAAGTTATAATTACAGTCTCAGCAAAAACAACAACAAATGTTTAATTATAGAAGAATATTGATCGCAAGCCATTGCATGCGTGGCAATGAAGAAGACCAATAGTTATTTTATCATTCATAGTTATAAAATGTTGACTATGTTTATTCAAAATGTTATATTTTAAATTCAAGCGAGCAGTGAATCTTGTTTTCTGCTATTTAAATTTCTAGTACCAGTTTGTTGTAATAAAAAAACACATTCTTGTTATTAAATGTATTTAATTTTTATTTTAATATACGTATTTATGTTTTAAATACAAGCAGTAAAGTAAAGAAATCTATTTTCCTTGTTCAATAAATTTGTAGTTCCAATTTGTTATAATCATAAAACATTTTTTGTATTTAATTTATAATTCAGAGTTGGTCTTTTAAAAAAGTGAATTAATAGTAGATAAGTAAAAAAAGATTTTAGTTGATGTGATCACCTAATTCAGTTGATATAAAATACCAAACAAAAAAAAAGAAAAACAATAACTAAAAGACTTAGGGATCATCTATAAATTATGTAACGCAAACTTTCACAATAAATAAAACAAAAAAGATCAAAAGTTTTCCCTCTCAGTGTCTTAATTTAAATATAAAATCAAAACAGCCCATTCAGTTTAATGAAAATCGTAAAAGAGCTCAATATCTCCAACTTTTGTTTTTTGAATATATTTTGCATTGCACAATTTATGGGCAACCCCTTACCGTAATATCTGTAATTGATCAAAATTTCAAAAATATCTGACATAAACGGCTTCTCAATATTTTTGTTGACGAAGCACATGTACTACAGGGTGTCTGCCAGATCAGGGAAATCAGGGAAAACAGTGAAAAGTCAGAGAATTCAGATATTTGCAAAAAAATCTGGGGATTATCAGGGAAATAAGGTTAAATTTTAGAAAAATCTGGGAAAAATCTGGGAAAATCGCTCTTCTTCAAATTTACATAACTTAAATAAGTTGTATATTGAATGCGTAATATAAAAGTTTATTTGGAAAATAGTTTTATGAATTTTTCTTGATACATTTAATGTGGGCTGTATTGTTGTATTATTGTGAAATGATTAATGATTAATGTATTGTTGTATTGTTGTGAAATGATTAATGATTAATGTATTGTTGTATTGTGAAACGATTAATGATTAATGTATTATTATGAAATGATTAATGATTAATGTATTTATTTATTCAATTTTTATTTATTATTTATTTTAAAAAATTAAAGCAAATGGCTGTAAAAGTAAAAAAATAATAATTAATGTTGTAAATACTTCTAAATACAAGATACAATTGCAATGTTGCTACATTTTATGCACTTTAACATAAAGAACTATCTACTTATGATAAATGGTTTCTTTGATAAAAGTTGTAATAAAAGTTATAATTCATTTAATTAATATTAGTATTATTTGTACTTAATAGAGTCAAAGTTGTGGACTTGAGACTTATAGTCAAGTCACAAATTTGATAGTTTTAGATTAGACTAATAAGACTTTGAACTCAACTTAGATAACTTGTGACTTGACTTGATGCATTATGCTTCATTGAATTTGATGTCTGAAAGTTTTTTGAAAAAAATTGATTTTTTGCTATAATACAGTGTTATTGTTCGTATTTTTGTAGTTGAAGAGCATTTTTCTAAACAAATCTAGGTCAATTTTTTTTTGAATTTGAGTTTAGGTAACTTTAAGTTAAATCAGGGAAAACAGGTAGAAAATCAGGGAAAAGTCAGGAAAATCCACCTTAAAATATTGGCAGACACCCTGTACTACTTGAAGTTGAGTTTGCAGTAAGGCTTAACAAGTTATTTAACTTTTCAGCCAAAAATAGCGAAACTTTTAAAGAAATAGCATTTGCAGGTGTTAAACCAAACAAATTTGTTATTATTTCAGATTTTTTAGATTAGTGCATTATTTCTTGCTAACTTTTTAATATAATATTTGCTGATGTTGGAATGCATTGCAAAAAATTATTTGCAAATTATGAGAAATTAATTTTACTTGCTAGTTGCCAAGAAAATTCCCAAAATTACTTGGGAAGTTTTGTCGAAGAGACATTTTCGCAAATATGCAATCGCATAGTTATACCAATAATGGCAATTTTATTTCAAGTTTTAAGCAATTTATTAATTAGAAAATTTTATTTAATTTTTCTATTAGTTTTGAATAATAATTAATTTTCAATAATTTTTAGAATTATTTTTAAACTTTAATTTGGCAAACTTTATTTGGAGAATAGAATTTTTTCACCTTTAAATTGGGAATTTTAATTTTATGAGAATTTAGGAATACCGCGTTTGACGGGGCGCCACAGGGCTAGTTTACACCCTGGCTGGTTCATCTAATGGTGCTCTTTCTCTTTTAGACAAGGTTCAAAACCCATGTTTTTATTTTATAGTTTATTTAAATTGCTAAACATTTTGATAATGTTATCTAATCATTGTAATGATTTTGATTTCACAAATGGTGGTAAGATTTTCAAAGGTTTTTTAAAAAGATTTAATTTAAAAAAATTTAATGATAAATAGAATGAGAAAAAAATGCAACCAGTGATTATTAAAGCTATTATTAAATAGTTAGGCAAAAATATAAACAAAATTTTTTTAAATATTTATAATATGGTTTTCTTTTTATTAGAGTCAGTTGAAAGCAATTGCTGGTAAGTAAATAATTATTTTCTTGTTATTTTTGTTTTTTTCATTTATAAAACATTAATAAAATTTTAATACTAAATCAATCTAAACCTATATAAAATAACCTATAATTGTGACTTTATAAAAAACTGTAAATAAAATGTTTTCATTTGATTTGAGTGTTTTATAAAGCCTAGAAATATATGCATATACTTTTGATGTTATTCCCCTGCCTTATGCAAGAGAGGGCTATTACAGTTGAGAAGGCTACTTTATTTTGTTGCAACCCTCTCTTAACTCTTTAAAACAAGCATTAACAAACAAGACCACTGCACAGGGGCATGGTTTGGATCAAACTTTGAGAATTAAAAACCTCAGAACTTTGAGAGCTGGGAGAAGTTCCAGGTTTCTACCAATATATATATTAGGGCTGTACCGGATTTAATTTTTTCAAATCCGGCCGGAGCCGGATTTGCCGGTTTTTTACTGACAGATCCGGCCGGAATCGGAGCCGGAGCCGGATTTCAAAAGAAAACTACAGGAGCCAAAATCCTGTACATCCCTAATTGGTGTTGAGCATGGTCAACAATGTGGACTATTCAGAATACCAAGTGACTGCTGTTTTCTGTTAAACTTCATTGTTGTTATTTAAAAAGTTTTATAGCAATTTCTATATATAAATTAATAGAAATTCTAAAGAAATTCTATAGGCCATATGTTTTAAAAGTTTATAGTAATTCTATTGAACTTTTTTTCCGGGATTTTGTCACTCCGCCACTGTAGTGGATCATTGTGTCTATTTATTTCTGGTTCTTTCGGATATTTCCTTAGCTGAGTTTCAATGCCTTTTAGTAATTGTTGTTTTTGTGCCCTGCCACCAGCGGACATAGACTGAATAATTTTATCAATAAATTGCCAGAGTAATGATGACGATGATGTAAAAAAATTATTAAGCCCGGCTTATTTTGGTGGATTTTCTTCAGTTTTGTCAATCTACTGTTCAGCATGCTCAGATTGACTTCAATCTTGTTTTTTCAGCTGTCAGTGTTGCCTGTAATGAGGAGAATTTAGTTTTAAATTGTGAGTCAACCAGCCTCGTCAGTATATAAAGAGGTTTCTCTTTTCAATGCTTTTAAAACGCTCATCCAATCACTTGATTAGGGTTGACATCATAGTCTTTATACCTGCATCATTCTAGAATATCGTGTGTTATCCCTTCAGAATTTTTTGTTGCGTTGTTGTTTTAAATTAGACTTAGCTTATTAAATTATAAAGAAATATAAATACAAATCCCAAAACAAATATGAGGTTCATAAAATATAGAATTACAAAAATAATTGATTTTTATAAATAAAATATTAGGTATACATGTAAACACGGGCAAAAAAAATGTAATAAATATTTGACAAAGTTCAAAACTCCGGCTAAAATTATGCCGGATTCGCTAAATTTTTGCAGGAGCCGGATTTGGGCCGGATTTGTAAAAATGACCGGATTTCGGCCGGAGCAGGAGCCGGAGCCGAAATCCGGTACAGCCCTAATATATATATATATATATATATATATATATATATATATATATATATATATATATATATATACATATATATATATATATATACATATATATATATATATATATATATATATATATATATATATATATATATATATATATATATATATATATATATATATATATATATATATATATATATATATATATATATATATATATATATATATATATATATATATAAGAGACAGATTGTGTGTGTAATAATTTTTACTTTTTGTTTGGTTTGCTTTTGTTGTTGTATATTTTTGTAATGAATATTTTTATAGATGGATTGATTGCAAAAGAAAGTTCCATCAAAGAAATTACAAGTACTTTTTTAGTTTCAAGTATTCTCAATATTAATGTATAAAGTAGAATTTTAGTATGAATTTTTTTTAGATATTTTTATTGTAAAAATAAAAAAAAAAATTGTTTTAAGAAATATTAAAAGCATAAATTATTTTGGGAAAGTTAACTAAAATGAACTAAAAATTTTAAAATCAATTAACTGAAATTATGTAGTCTTGGTATGTTTCTAACAGGGGTGTGGAGTTGGAAAAAAAAGTAACGACTCCGACTTTTTTGAGCACAACTCCAACTCCAAAGCAAAATTTTTGAAAAATTCTTTGAATTCTTTAAAAAATATTACGCTATAAGTTAAAAATTTCTTTTTTGACAAATTTATGAAGTGTTCTTTGAGGTCTAGTATGAACATAAGGTTAATTGAATGTTTTGTAAATGCACGTACAATACCGAGAAGTTTTACTATTGGAGTCGGAGTCGGGATTTTGATTAGCGACTCCGACTCCGCTAAAAATATTGTGACTCCAACTCCACAGCCCTGGTTTCTAATCTTATGTAGCCTAGGTATCTTTCTATTGTCTCAGAATGTTCTGAAATTTAACAATAAATTTTAAAAATTAATCTTTCTATTTTGTTGAAAAAATTTTTTTACTATAGATTTTGAATCTAAATTAAAATAGTTTTAAATTAATGACTTTAACTACATTTTAATTATCAACACAAGTTGTTATTATAAATTATTTTTAATTATCAGCATAAAATTTTTTGTACATTAAAATTCTTTTAGCCTCTTTATCTTTTCTTTTATTTATTACGTATTAGTTCATTGACAATATATAAAAGCTTTATATATATATATATATATATATATATATATATATATATATATATATATATATATATATATATATATATATATATATATATATATATATATATTGCACACATACATTTTTATTTATCAGGCAGTACACATTTTATACCCACTTTCATCAAATATCCCATTCTTTCTATGATTTTTATTTCAATTTTGTTTATTTTTTTATTTATTGTATTTGTAGATAAGCAGTCCAGCAAAGTAACTCATTCTTCAACCAGCAATTCATTTGAACCAGAGGCATGGAAACCAGGACAGAACTCTTGATTTTGGTAAAAAAATTCTTTCTCTGTGCTTTTCATTGTTCCTATTTTGAAATTAAAGGGTTGAGGAAAGATAAACATTTAGAAAGAGGGGTGAACAATATTTAGAGAAGAAAAAAAAAGTATCCTAGGGAACTGTAGTGACCTCCTAGTTCTTGAGTAGTAACCTCCTATTTCTTGAGTAGTTTAATTTTTTTAATTTTGATGTTTTGTTAAATAATTAGTAATTTTAAATTTAGCATTTATTCATTACATTGCTACACCATCAGAAAAGTGTTAAAAGTACATAAAAATGTTGATGGAGATAAATATTGATGGAGATAAATTAAGGTTGTGGTAGAAGTTTCAAATGTTTAATGTTAGATCGTAATAAATGATATGGAATCAAATAGTAGAAGAAATTCAAACTGGAAATTTTTATTTCTTTCTTTTATTTACTTTTTCTTTTTTTTCCTTTTTCATTTTGCTATTTCGATTTTCAATTTTAAAAAATTATTATGAAAATAAATAAGTAATATATATTAAATAATTAATAAATAAAAAGATCAAAGAAATGATAAAACTTTTTTTTATATTTTTTATGATTAACTTCAAAAGTAAATGTTTTGTATTTAAATTTTGTTTTAACAATTTTGGTGAATGCCAAGAAAGGTTTTGTAAAAAAAGATTCATTATTAAAATTAATAATGTTAGTAAGTGAAATCCAAAGGTTTTAATATATATATATATATATATATATATATATATATATATATATATATATATATATATATATATATATATATATATATATATATATATATATATATATATATATATATATATTGGTAAATTATCCAAGATATGAATTTTTTGAATATACCTTTTCTTTCGGTCAAACTTCTGACATATCTCATTAACTGCTTAATATCTCATTTAATTAAAAATTCAATTAAAATGTTTGATTTTTATTTATTTTAATTTAGTTATTTTATTTAGATCTAAATAAATATTTAGAATTTAAATAAAATGTTTGTTTTACTATTTTTTATTAAAGTTATTTTATTTTTTAGACTTTATTTAAAACTTTGTTTCAACAATTTTTAACATAATTATTTTATTTAGAATTTAAATAAAGTATTTATTTTGTCATTTACATTTGAAATATCAAATAGAGTTAAGTTTTTGACCTAAATTCTGACCTAACATCTGTTAGGTCAGAAGTAAGGTCAGAATCGGACACTGTTAGGTCAGAATTGGAAAATCCCCACACTAAATCTGAAGGCTGTATATATATGTATATATATATACATGGGCTGTTCTAGGAAAATAATTTGTGGTACCCCTGTGGCAGTGAAGAAAATATACATAAAAGTATATATACATATATATGTGTGTGTGTGTATATATATATATATATATATATATATATATATATATATATATATATATATATATATATATATATATATATATATATATATATATATATATATATATATATATATATATATATATATATATATAGAGAGAGAGAGAGAGAGAGAGAGAGACAAATAAATATTAAGTGTAATCAAATGTTTTATAATAATAAATAAATATTCCAAATAATCTTGAAAAAAGATTTTTATCCTAACTAAAACTAACCAATAGCCTATCCAATAGTTCAGCCTATCCAATAGTAAAAGAAGTTCTTTCCAACATCCATCTAGTAATAGCTTATGAATGAAATTTAGCAGAACTTACTTCTGCTAAATTTCATTCTGTTGTTTTTAATTAAAAAAGTGTTCAAATGTAAAGATGCTTGGTGTATAAGTTGGCAGTTTTATCTACAAGAAGTAGAAAATTTTGTAACGCCCACTGATACCATTTGGATCATTAAAAGTCACATTACTTGTAACAACAAAATTGTATATTATTTAAATTGTTAATCATGTAGTGCTTAATTTGCATACACCAAAAAAAAAATTTGAGCAAATCCACAAATGATCAAATTTCGAGTTACAGAACTGGCAAATCAACTGACAGATTTGACAACCATGTGTTTAATTGCCAATAATGAAACAATAAAATTATAGAACCTTTCTTACAGCTTTTTGTTGTTCTGAAACTTAAAAATAAAAAAAATTTATTATCTTATGAAAATCAATCACACAAACAAAAATATGATACCTTTAATTTATACTTATTTGATTTATAAAAAAAACAATGGTAACAATGGTAACCTATAGCTTAATTTAAATATATTTTACAAAAATAAAATTTTTTTATAACAGCATTTAAACTAGCTCTACTTATGAAACTTTGAAATTTTGAATTTTCATCTACTGCTTAATCTTTTGTTGATATTTCTAATCAGTATATTTTTTTAAAAAAAAGTGTTTTTGAGGTTGTTAAATTCCTCAGCGTAAGATCATTAAGAGCAATTTTTTAAATTATAATACATTTTAAATATATTTTATTTATATATATATATATATATATATATATATATATATATATATTATATATATATATATATATATATATACGCACATATATATATAATATAGCCTTTAGAGTTAGAAAAATTGAGGTCAGCAATAAATTGCTGACTTAAATCTGTTAGAGGTTTGCATAAAAAAATTGTT